CACACATGTGCACCCCTCCCCCCACTCGCTCACTTCCTTGAAGGCGTCCCTCATCTCCTGCACGCCGATCATGCCCGCTGTCTCTGCCAGCAGCTTGGGGGTCATCAACTCCACAAAGTCCTCAAAGTCCACACGGCCACCCACTGGGGACAGCAGAGGCAAGGTCAGAAGGGTTCCGGGCCTCTGTCTTCTGTCCCTTCGCTCTGCCCTTCAGGATAGTTTAAGAAATAGCTCCCAGGACTGGGAAGGTGGCTCAGTGGTAGAGTGCTTGCCTAGCATGCATGAAGCCCTGGGTTTGAGTTCTCAGTATCACAGGCACAGAAAAAGCCGGAAGTGGCGCCGTGGCTCAAGGGGTAGAGCACTAGCCTTGAGCACAGAGAGGCTCACAGACAGTGCCCAGGCCCAGAGTTCAAGCCCCAGGACCAGCAAAAAAAGAAAAAGCTCCCATCTTCTTGTCACTGCATTCTTATTTTTTTTGGGGGGCGGGGGTAGCTCAAGGGGGAGGAGGAACCAGTCCTGGGACTTGAACTCAGGGCCTGGGAGCTGTCCCTGAGCTGTTATACTGAAGGCTGGCGCTCTACCACTTTAAGCCACAGCACCACTTCTGGCTTTATTTTTGGTGGTTCATTGGAGAGAAGAGTCTCAGCTGTCAGATCTCAGTCTCCTGAGTAGCCGGGATGGATTACAACGCCTGTCCTCCAATCTCACCCTCTGTGACCCCTTTCCCCCACCCCCCCTCCGCCCCTGGTCTCACGGTTCATGCGGATTTGCTGGCCCAGCTCAGTGAGCTCCATCTCAGTGGGCATGTAGCCCATCGTCCTCATGAGATTCCCCAGGTCCTTGTATGAGATGAAGCCATCCCGGTCCTTGTCAAACTCCAGAAACGCTTCCCGGAGCTCTGCAGGTTCAGGGAGAAAAATGGGGTGGTCACAAGCACAATCAGAGGGGATTTTTAAATTTTTCAATGTTGAAAAAAAAATGGTGACATTGCCTAGGATGCATTATGTTTCACAGTGGACATGCTGTATTAAAACCCCTTAGTGTAACTACTTAAGGATCAGAAGAAGAAAAACCAATTGTCTTTCAGTCATGGGGCTTAAACTCTGGGCCTGGACACTGTCCCTCAGCTCTTCAGCTCAAGGCAAGCACTCTACCACTTGAGCCACAGTGCCACTTCCAGTTTTCTATTGGTTCATTGGACATAAGAGTCTTATGGACTTTCCTGCCCAGGGTTGGCTTTGAACTGTGATCCTCAGATCTCAACCTCCTGAGGAGCTAGGATGACAGGCATGAGCCACTAGTACCTGGCAAATAAATCAGTTTTGTAGAACAAGTTCTACAAATCTGCTGGTGAGAAGAGAGAGACAGATTTTCCCAGATTTTACACTGAGATGGAGGACGGACTGAGCAGTGGAGATCTGAGTGGGGAGGGTTTACCTTCGATCTCATCTTGCCCCAGGGGTCTCTCCTGGAAAGAAGGCAGGGGAGGAATATGGAGAATCAGAAATTCCAGCTCACCTCTTTCCTGCTTCTATCATTCTTCCTCCTGCCAACCCTCCTCCCCCCTCCCCAATCCCCTCCCTGGCATTTCCTCATCCCCCATCTTTGAGTCCCCAATCCCTCCCTCTGCCTTTCCCAGGCCAACAACTCTCCTTGCACTGAGTGGATCAAAGGCCTGGAGTCCGAGCCTCCCTTCCAGACAGCCTCCGCCCTCTGGCCTACCCAGGGCTGATAAAGGCCACCATGCCTGTCTCACAGCAGGGAAGGCAGGGTAGAGGGCTGAGGGGACTCACCGCAGATTGCCCTCTTCCAAGACCAAGCCCAGGCCAGAGAACCCCATGGTCCTGACACCCGGCCACCGCTGTCCCCTTGGTGCCCCACTGGGTTCCTCAGCCTGCATCTGCTCCCCAGGCCTCAGCCCCCGAGTGGGATTAGTGTGCATGGCACCCAGAAACCTCGGGCAACTTCCAGCCATCAGTGCTCTGCCTGCTTCTGGCACCCCAGGGGCTGGGCCTCCAGACCTACTGGCCCCCAAGAAATTTTACAAGTCCTTCCTTCCTTCCTTCCTTCTTTCCTTCCTTTCTTCCTTCCTTCTTTCCTTCCTTCCTTCCTTCCTTCCTTCCTTCCTTCCTTCCTTCTGGTCTTCCTTCTGTATTCCTTCTTTCCTGTCTCCTTTCTGTTTTCCTTCCTTCCCTCCCTCCCTCCTTCTTTCTTTCTTCCTTTCCTTCTTTCCTTCCTTTCTCTCCCTCCATGTCCTTCTTTCCTTCATTCTCTCCTTCCTTCCTTCTTCCTGTCCTTTCCTTCCTTCCTTCTTTCCTCCCTCCCTGTCCTTCTTCCTTCCTTCCCTCCCTTCTTCTTTCCTTCTTTCCTTCCTTCCTTTCTTCTTTCTTTCCCTCCCTCCTCCCTCCCTTCCTTCTCTCCTTCCTTCCTTCCTTCCTCCTTCCCTTCCTCCTTCTCTTCCTTCCTTTCCTTCCCTCCTTCCATGTCCTTCCATATCCTTCTTTACTTCATTCCCTCCCTCCTTCCTTCTTCCTGTCCTTCTTTCCTTCCTTCCTTCTTTCCTCCCTCCCTGTCCTTCTTCCCTCCCTCCCTCCCTTCCTTCTTCTTTCCTTCTTTCCTTCCTTCCTTTCCTTCCATCCTTTCTTCTGTCTTTCCCTCCCTCCCCTTTCCTTCCTTTTCTCCCTTCCTTCCTTCCTTCCTTCCTTCCTTCCTTCCTTCCTTCCTTCCTTCCTTCCTTCCTTCCTTCTTTCTTTCCTTCCTCCCTCCTTTCCTTCCTTCCTTCCCTCCTCAGATAGAATTCAGAGTTTTTATTTATGCAAACATTCTACCACATGATGCACACCCCAGACCTTTTTTTTTTTTTGCTTTGATTCTGTTCTAGCTAAGGCCTTCCCAACACACCTGCCTTAGTCTTTGAGATGGGGGAAGGCGGAGGTGATCTTGCTAACATTTTTCTTAGGCTGGTCTCAAACCATGATCCTCCAATCTCTGCCTTCTGAGTGGGTGGGATGCCGTACTTGGCCAGCCCCTGTCCTCCTCCTGCTGACTCCCTTTGTGCTCAGAGCCCGGCCTCAGCTCTCCAGTCTTTCCATCTCCACACCATCCCGTCCCTCCTCCTTCCTTTTCCTCTCCTTTTCAGGGACCTCAAAGCTTCACCTGGGATTCAAACCAACCTTGTCCTGCTACTCATGCATTGCATAAGCTCAAAGCAAAGACTTCATGACTCAGATCTCCCCCTCCCCCCAGTAGAATGGGAGTGAAACAATCACCAAGTTCAGGAGTTGTTCTGTAGGAACAGAAAACCCAGGGCCAGGCCAGGCGGCAGGGCCATCACTACCATGGTGACATCTCCATGGGGACACTACCACGGCCCCCTTTTCCCCCCCCTTGGTGTTCCCCTGCGGCCCCCTCCCCGGGCCTCCTCACCCGGTGCTTCTCTGCAATGCCCTTCCTCAGGAAGATGCAGGCGGGGCCCATGGGGATCTGCATGGAGGATGTGCGGGCTGGGTGGAGGCTGTGGTCCAGGGTGATCCTCCTTCCCGCTGGCCTCTGCTGGTCTGGCTGTGTGGGTCCCTGTGTGACAGAGCTGTGACAGCTGGGTGAGAAATCTCAGGGCGGGATCAGAGCCCTGGCCTCCCCATCTGGCTAGAAGGAGGATGGGGGCGGGGGAGCCAGTGTGAGGCTAGGAGATTCTTTTATCCCCAGGATGGAATTGGGGAGCTTGTACAGAAATGATAGGGATTAGAGCGAGGGTGAGGGCACATCCCCATTCACCCCACCTCCCTGAAGCAGCCATGTTCCACTCAGCCTAGACTTTGGGCCACAAAAGATGGACAGGATCAGACCTCTGGCCTCAAAGAACCATGACTCAGCCAAGTGGTGTGAGTGTGCTTCCCTTCACTGCCCAGCCCTTCCCTTCTGCTTTGTGTGTGTGTGTGTGGGGGGGATGTCCCCATCCTGGGGCTTGAACTCAGGGCCTGGGCGTTGTCCCTGAGCTTTTATACTCAAGGCTGGTGCTCTACCACTTGAGCCACAGCTCCACTTCTGACTTTTTGGTGGTCCATTGAGATCAGAGTCTCATGGACTTCCTGCCTGGCTGGATCCTCAGATCTCAGTTTCCTGAGTAGCTGGGATTATAGGCGTGAACTACTGGTACCCAGCTTCTCTTCTGGTCTTCCTGGATAATTTAGAGGGAAGAGCAACGTGGCAGAGGAGGATAGGGGGTGAAGCACAGAAGTGTGAGGAGGGTGTCCATGCTGGGGGTGTGTGTGGGGGGGAGTAGAGGGAGTAATCTGACATGGGAGGAACCATATTCCCACTCAGGGTGACAACCCTGAGGATGCTGTGCTCTGGACATGGTTTCAGTGTTGAGGACCACGTTGGGAACTCGGTCCTCAGCGATGTGGAGCTCAATGGGAGATCAACAGGGGTGCTGCCCCCTGGAGGTGGTAAATACACTTCCATGGGGACACCCCTGCTTAGTTTTTGGGGAAGTCACACTGTCAAGGGCCCCACGCTGGATGGGGCCTCGGTGGGAGCCGTGGGTCACCGGTCAGGTGGTGAAACAGGAAGCAGAGCCTAGGGCAGGCTCAGGCTTGTGGCCCTGGTTCTGTGCAACTCTGACTCCACCCCTTCATTACCCAACTGCTGGGGAGTGGTGGGAGGAGGTGCTTGGCCTAGCACATGGCCTGGGTGCTGGGGCCGGTCCACCATGAAGCTAGCAGCAAGTCCCGCAGGTGGGGAATCCAAGGGGGCAAAAATCCGTGAGAACCCAAAAGGAATTAACGGGGTAAGGGGGAGGGGGCAAAAAACACCACGACGCCAAAGGAAAGATGATTATGAACTAGCTTTAATTAGCTTTTCACCAAGCTTGTCACAGCATCCTGAAAGCAGAGGTGGGGCTGCGCGAGAGAAGCAAGGGGTGTTGGATTTAGGAGGGGGAGGGGCTTGGGAGGGGAGAGGGTTCTGGGTTTGGGGTGGGGGGGAGCTGGGTTGGGGGGGGTTGGGTTTGGGAGGGGGATGGGGGTCTGAATCAGAGCTCCTGGGCCCAGACGTTCTTGGAGCACTGCTGAGAGGGGTTAGGATGATTTAGAGCAGGATCTGGGGAGGAAGAGAGGGAGAAAAAGGACTTGGACATTTTTCTTTTTGGCACAGAACCAAGTCGATCAAACATGCCAGGCGAATGCTTACACTAATTCACACACACACACACACACACACACACACACACACAGAGGTCTATTTGTATTGTGTGTGTATTGGGAGAATCTGTGGGGTGGGAAGTCCTGCTCTATGCTGATGTCACTACCGTGCATGCCAGGCCGCTGGGGGGCCGGATGTCAAAGGGCAGCTTGGGAGGAGGGGCTTCTGGGAAGGAGATAGAGAAGAGAAAGGCAGCAAGAGACACGTGGGGAGAGACGAGTCCCCCGGAGCCGAGCAGTACCTTACTCTCCTCAACCCAGAGGAGAGCCTGGGCCAGCCTGAACCGATACCTAGGCCGGCCAAGAGGCCTAAGGAGATCCAGGCTGGCCTGAGGGCAGATCCTGGCTGGAAGAAAGGCCTGAGGAGACCCAGGCCAGTGGAGAGGCCTGGGGAAGCCTGGGACAGCCTGAGGGGAGACCTGGACCTGAAGAGGTCTAGGGAAGCCCGGGCTGGCCTGAGAGGAGACCCGGACCCATGGAGAGGCCTGGGCCTGCCTGCGAGGCCCAAGGACACTCTTTCTGGCAGAGAGGCCTGGGACCTAGGCTGGCCTGAGGACAGACCCAGGCTGGAAGAGAAGCCCAGGGAAGCCAGGGCCAGCCTGAGAAAAGACCTGGGCCAGAAGAGAGGTGGAAAGGCCTGTGAAGAGCCAGGAGGCCTGCAGAGTTGGAGAATCAGAGGCCTATGGGAAAGAGTCAAAAGGAAAAAATAAACTTGCCCCCTTGGAGGTTGCAGCTACTCCTAGTTCTGAGGTAACTCAAGACAGGGTTGCAGATGAACTAATAAAATTCCCTTGTCGGGGCTGGGAAGTTGGTTCAGTGGTAGAGTGCTCGCCTTGCATGCTTAAGGCCCGGGGTTCGATTCCTCAGCACCACATAGGCAAAAAAAAAAAAAAGCTGTGGCTCAAGTGGTAGAGCGCTAGCCTTGAGCTGAAGAGCTGAGGGACAGCGCCCAGGCCCAGAGTTCAGGCCCCACAACCGGACCCAAAAAAAATTTAAAAAATAAAATAAAATAAAAATAAAATTCCCTTGTCACCTTTAGCTGTACCTCCATGGGTTTTCTCACTCACGGGTTATTACAGTGTGTGTGTGCATGCTGGTACTGGGGCTTGAACTGAAGGCAGTGAACTCAGCCCAACTCAAAGGGCCAAGTTCCTATGTGAAAACCACAACTACAGTGAATGGGCTCAGTGAGTGGAGTGCAAGGCTCTGAGTTCAAGTCCCATTACTGTGGAGAAATAAGAAGCCGCCCACGTGGAGGTGTGTCTCAAGTGGTAGAGCACCTGCCTTGAGGGGAAAAAAAAACCAAAAACACAAAGCCGAGTAAGAGTAGAAGGCCCTGAGTTCAAACCCCAAGCCCCAGTACTGGCACAAAATAGCAAGCAAAGCCTAGTGCTAGTGGCTCATACCTGTCATTTTAGCTACTCAAGAAGCTGAGATCTGAGGATCGTGATTCAAAGCCAGACCAGCAAGGAAAGTCCTTGAAACCCTTATCTCCAATGAACCAGCAAAAAGCCAGAAGTAGGGCTGTGGCTCATAGAGTGCTAGACTTGAGTTAAAAAAAAAAAGTTCAGGGACAGCACTCAGGCTTTGAGTTCAAGCTCCAAGACGAGCACAAAACAAAACCAACCAAGTTCTCCTCTGACAGATGACTTCTTGTAAGCACAGGGGGAGGAGCCATTCTGGACTCATACCTACTCCATCATCTCTTTGATCGTGTCAAGGATTTTCTGCTTGCTGTTCCGCACATTTTCTTTGGCCTTGTCCAGAAGATCCTGCACCAGCTCCAGCGTGTAGGTGTCAGAGATTTTGAACGTGCCGTATTTATTTCTCCAAGCCTCAATATCATCTACATTAAAGTGGGAGGGACAATGTCTCCTCAGTAGGGTGGACAACAAGGCCTTCCGATGGTGTCCATTTAAACGGGAGACTGGTATATAGTTCTGAGGACCAAACTGAGCTGGCCCCTACTTCACAAATCAAACTTCCATTATGACTAGCTCTATATTCATAACCCAAAGTGCCTGCCTCCACCTGAGGGGTGAGCCCATTTTCTATGTTGGTCTGTTGAGACTCAATTATTAACCATGGTGGGCAGACACAGAGCAGGTGGCCCAGAAAGATGCATGACATAAAAGGCAACCACAGACATGCTCATCTCCTACTGGGGGGTCTCTCAGGAGTCTGGAGGAGAGGAGGCCATGGGGTGGGGGAGGGCAGGTAGAAGAAGAACTTGCCTCTATCACCTGTTCACCTGGAACCTCATGTTGAAGGTGGAAGGGGGGGCCAATCACAGGCAGAAGAAACACATAAGATGGGGGAACCAGATGTGGATGAGGTGGAGGAGGAAGGCATTCTGCTCTCTGACCTTTACATGTTGAAGGTCGACCAGATGTCCCCAAGGCATAGCACAACCCTAGAAGCCAAGCAAAGGTCTTCTCACCTTTGCAGTTGCATTGGTTAAAGAGGGGGAAATGCATCACAGTGGGTCCAGTGTCCCCCTTGAAGATGTAGCAGCTATCAGGGGTCTCAGCACACTGCTTCAGCTTGGCCTTGTCCACAGGGGGAAAGGGGATCCCATGCTGCTTGCAATAGTCAGCTGTAGCCAGGACAGTCTGCAAGAGGGGGCCGCATGGACCTGAGTCAGGGGTGGTCCTTCAGTTCCCTGAGGCTTGTGGCCCTCACTGGAGCCTCAGGGAAAGAGTTCAGATCCACAGCAGAGTTGGTGGGCTAGGAAGTGGGGTTCATGTTTCTTGCAACAGATCACATCCCCCAGGTTCTGTGGGACGATGCTGAGTGTCCACAGGCCTGACCCCACGGGACCAAGGGCTGATTATCTCCATGGAGCAGAGACAGACCAAACTACTGTGGGTGTAGAGGTAGGACCCCAACAGTGGCAGAACTCCTGTCTGGAGGAGGGGTCCAGGAAGGCCCTGGATGGCTGGACTTAGGTTTAGGCTGTTGAGGTGGTGATATCAAGATCTCTTCAGACCTGATGATGAGGGGATTTACTTTCTGGGTCCTCAGCTAGCACCTCTCCACCAGCCTTCTGCCTCTACCCAGGCCCAGATCCTTCTCAGACTGTTCCCTGTTACCTCGAAAGGGTCCCCAGCGCTGAAGTCGAAGGAGAGGATGAGCTGGACATCCCGTGCTGGGGGTAGGACGAGGGGATAGGCACTGTTGATGGCCAAGCCAGCATCCACCAGGTGAAGGAGCTTCCGGTTACACATCTCCTGGGCTATCTTGTCATCAGTGGAGACTAGGAGGAAGCATCTTGGTGATTCTGTACCCCCAAGATCTATGCTAAGACCAGAGCCTGGATATACACGAACAGCTTTGTGCATAAACAGAGCCAGACAACCTCCTGCCCAGCCAGAAATGCCACAAGACAAGCAGGGGCGGGGGAGGAAAGGAAGGGGAGGGTTGAGATCCAGCCAGCGTGCAACTCTGCTGTGGTTTGGGTGTATCATGACTATGACCCCCCCCCAAAAAAAAAAAGAAATAAGTCTCATGTCCTGGAAGCTTGATCCCCAGGGAAGGGGAGAGGGGGTGGAAGCACCCAAAGAGCCTGCATTGGAAGGGACTTGAGCTGGTTGGTGGAGTGGATTAGCTCCTGGAAAAGCAAGCTGCTCATGCCACCCACCAAACCCTTTCTGCACATTGCTGTCTCCTTTTCCGCTGCTTTGCTGTTTTATCCAAGGAGACCCTCACCAGAAGCCAAGCGGACAGGGGGCACCCAATCTTAAGACTTTCAGCCTCCACATAGAAATGGAGGAGGGGGGACAAAGAGTGAACAAATGCAACAGTGGAACTCACTAGACACTATGTGGAAAATGAACTGCTATACAACTTGTGGGTGGGGATGGGAGGGAAAAACTGGGAGGGAGCAAGAGAAGGGGTGACTATAACCCCTCTGTACCTCACCTTCATAATAAGAAAAAAAAAGAAGAAGAAGACTTTCAAACCTCTTTTCTTTATAAAGTCTTTTGTTATAGAAACACAGCGCAGACTAATGCAGTTTCTCAAGCCGTGCCCAGCCTTGACCCAGTGGGACAGTTTGGCATTGCACCCTTTGTGGCATAAAAGCAACAAGGCACCAGACCCAAATTGCCCAGGTTCCTCTTATCACAAACCAGGGTGCAGGGGTTGGCAGGGCCTTCAGAAGCATGGTTGTCAGCTGTGAGAACAATGGAGATTGTAAATGGGCCTCAGGACACTCTAGAGACCAGAGTCAATTCTCTCCTGACAAACAGGTCAGCTAATGAAAGAAAAACTACCCCACAAAGACAGATTTGAGGGCTTGCCAACAAGGAATTCAGATTGGGGACAGAGAAAAAACACCCATTCTTCAGGGATTGGGCCTCTCCAATGTCAGGACCACCTGCCCTTCAGGGATTGGTCCTTTCCAATATCAGGAATCACCCACCCTTCAGGGATTGGGCCTTTCCAATGTCAGGAACCACCCACCCTTTAGGGATTTGGCCTTTCCAATGTTAGGAACCACCCACTCTTCAGGGATTGGGTCTTTCAGATATAGGAACCACCCATCCTTCAGAGATTGGGCCTTTCTTAATGGTATCAATCAATGCCAATGAAGCCTCAGGTCTCTATTAAGCAACCCCCCCTCAACCTCTCTACCTCCCCCCCCTCCCTGCACCCCCCCAGGGAAGCCACTCCATTCAAACCCATCCAGGAAGTCCTGCTACCTGGATCCCTTAAACTCTCAACCCAACAAGAGACAGGGAGAAGGCTTCCTCACCACATTCATGGAGGAAGTTGTAAACTGTCCCCCATTCCCAATTCCAAAAGCATGCTATGGTTTTGTTCAGAAAAGATAGAGTGTTCATCCATGATCCTAGAGAGAGAAATGGATAGGGCTAAGGTAAGTGTCATGGATTAAATATCTCCCCAACCCCCACTCCAACCCCAAGGCCCTCAGGGGAAGCTCTGAAATACTGATGGGGGGCGGGGAGGGGAACTGGATGTGGACACAACACCTTTAGGTAGAAGAATGTAGGCTGATCCTAACTTAGAATGTGGTCCTAGCCGGTGCTGGTGGCTCATGCCTGTAATCCCAGCTACTCAGGAGACTGAGATCTGAGTGTCATGGTTCAAAGCCAGCCCAGGCAGGAAAGTTTGTGAGGCTCTGATCTCCAATAAACCACTCAGAAAACCAGAAGTGGTGCTGTGGCTCAAGTGGTAGAGTGCTAGCCTTGAGCTGAAGAGCTGAGGGACAGCGCCTAGGCGCAGAGTTCAAGCCCCATGACTGACAAAAAAAAAAAAAAAATGTGGTCCTGAGCTGGGCTCTGAGTGGCTCACGCCAATAATCCCAGCTACTCAGGAGGCTGAGATCTGAGAATTGTGGTTTGAAGCCAGCCTGGTTAGGAAAACCTGTGAGAGTCTTATCTTCAATAAACTACTCAGAAAAAGCTGGAAGTGGCGCTGTGGCTCAAGTGGTAGAGTGCTAGCCTTGAGCAAAAGGAGCTTAGGGACAGTGTTCAGGCCCTGAGTTCAAGCCCCAGGACCAGAAAAAAAAAGTATGTGGTCCTAACTCAGGACTTAGGAGCAAGATTCAGGAGTTGGGTGGGACAGGGGGAGAGGGGAGAAAGGCACAGGGATGGGTGGCCACCTATCTGCAGGCCAAGGACAGAGGCCCTGAGAGAAGCCAGCCTTGACCTAAGACTACAGCCGTGGGACCCTAGCCGTGGGGCGGGGTGGGGGGGGGGACGGACGGGAGGAATGGGGTAGGTCATATTCAGTTAAGTTAGGTTCAGGAGAGATAGAGAACTTACTGACTCTAAACTCTTCCTAAGTTCAAACCCCAGAACCACCAAAAAAAAAAAACAACAACAACAAACATTGGACTCATTCCTGAAATTGGATAACAGACAAACCAATAGATTGGTTTTACCCAAGTAAATGTGCATTTCTGCAGAGAGTTGTGCATTTGCTGGCAGGAAGGCCTTTGTGTGTGTGTCTGATCAAACATGGGGCCTTGGGTTTTGTTGTTGTTTTTGTTGTTTTGTCAGTCATGAGGCTTGAACTGTGGGCCTGGGCACTGTCCCTCAGCTTTTCAGCTCAAGGCGAGTGCTCTACCACTTGAGCCACAGCGCCACTTCTGGTTTTCTGAGTGGTTTATTGGAGATAAGAGTCTCACAGACTTTCCTGCCCAGGCTGGCTTTGAACCAGGATCATCAGATCCCAGGATCATCAGATCTCAGCCTCTTGAGTAGTTAGTATTACAGGCAGTAGTTAGTATTACAGGCGTGAGCCACTGGTGCCCTGCTTCCTTGGGTTAGTTTTTAAGGGAGGCTCAGAGGTTGGCAGGAGTGGAGGCAGGGTGACAGGCAGTGGCCATAGAAAGCAGTTGTCTGTGCTGTCCCTCATCTGTACCAGCCACTATCCAAACTTCTCTCCCCTCTGTCTATCTGTTTGGCCTAAGTGGGACTGGCCTCTCATGCGTCTGCCTCAATGGATCTACTATGTATTGTTTCCACGGGGATGTGGACATCTGTTCCCCTCTGTGTCCCCCAGCCTTGTTGCCATGTTAGCAACTCAGGATATCCCAGATGTGAAGAGGGGACACACAGCCGGACGGGAGCCTGGTGGCTCACGCCTTTAATCCCAGCTACTCAGGAGGCTGTGATCTGAGGATTGAGGTTTAAAGCCAGCCCAGGCAGGAAAAAAATCCACCAGAGACTCTTATCTCCAATGACCCACCAGAAATCCAGAAGTGGAGATGTGGCTTAAAGTTGCAGAGTGCTAGCCTTGAGCAAAATAGCTCAGGGGCAGCGCCCAAGCTCTGACTTCAAGCCCCAATATGGCCACACATACAAACAGGGACAGTTGGTTGCCCCCCAGTAGGCTCCCCTCCCCTGTGGGGATGAGAGAGGGGAAGAAAGAGGATGGGGGGACACTTACCCAGTCTAATGTACTGGGAAGGCTGACTTCTTAGCTGTGTCAAAGAATGTACCACTAACTGCAGGAACTGGCCTTGCTCCTCCTCAGACATGGTCTCCCACTTCAGCATCTTCTCCGCATACTCAGGCCCATCCTCTGTCCCCAAGAAACAGAGATGATTGGGGACAGACTAGGGTCCAGGTCACCAGCTCCAACCCTCGCCCAAGCCTGCTCTACTTCATCTCCCATGATGCCCCAGCTCTTCCTCCTGCCATGGGGGCCTTCTCAGGCTCCCTTCCCCTTTTCCCCAGCACAGAAGTCTTGACTTTCCTCTCTCCTCTGCCTGCTCCTGGGCCTCGAGACCCCACTCACTTCTCAGTGCTTAGCACCAAGGCCACATTTCTAGAAGGGTCTAAGGATTCTTTATCATCATATGGATGGAGAACTATGGGGGGGCACAGAAAAATCACATGCCTCCGTTAGATAACCTACAGCAACAAGCAGCAACCCACAGACCACCTCCCATCCCCTGTTGGGCACACAAGCCCATCTTATGCACAGATCTACTGCATGTGGCTTTGACTACAGATGTTGGACAAATTTGGGCTAGCCACGCTTCCTCCCTAGCCCTCCAGTCCTCCTATCTTTTATTTAAGCTTTCCCTTTGGGTCACCCTCAGACCATGCCTTCCTGCCTCCGCCATCTCCGTCTCTGCCCCCATGGGCCTCCGAAGTCTCAAGCCAGTGCACAAACCTGGGATGGCATTCAGGGCCTGACTCAGAGCCTGGATCATCTCCGGAAGGCCCGGCGCCTTTGGGTCTGTTTTGTAAGTCACCACGAAGTCCAGGAGCAAACCTTCTACGTCTGACGTTTCTCTAGCCATCTCTGTTCAGACGGAAGAGGTTCTCCCAGTGAGGACACCCAGAGGCCATGGCCAGCTCGCCCCGGCCCCCTCCTTGGAAGGTGGCTGAGGGACACCCCCTCCCTGCCCAGCTTGCTCAGGATTGTCTTGACTGAGACCTGAAGCCCAGCAACCTCCCTCAGGTAGGTCAGAGCTCTCGGGACCAGGCTGGGAACTCACCCCTACCCAGGGTTCCCCCTCTTCCCCTTACCTCTACCTAGCTTCCCCCTCCTCCCCTCACCTCTGCCCAATTCCCCCCTCTTCCCCTCACCCCTGCCCAATTTCTCCCTCTTCCCCTCACCCCTGCCCAATTTCCCCTTCTTCCCCTCACCCCTGCCCAATTTCTCCCTCTTCTCCTCACCCCTGCGCCAACCCCTCCCTTCCCCTTCACTCTCTTCCCGTTTCCTTCTAGGGACCCAGACACCAGGGAGAGCGAGTGCCACACTGCCCGGGCCCCTTCCCAACCTGGGACACTGAGCGTATATTGACTGATCTCTTCTTCATCATTCCTTTCCAGACCTGTCCAAAACAAACCAAACTGATAAACAAACACTTTTCAGTCCATCAACATCACAAAGACCCAAACTCACAAAGAGGCTGAGGGTGGGAGCGCCCATCCCTGCATGAGACCCCAGAGGCGGTGCAGCCGCCCTGCCGTGCTGCCTGGCCTTTTCCTTTCTTTCTTTTTTGGGCTCTAGTTATCTTGCAGATAGGCTATTTTGTTGTTTGGCCAAGCTGCCCCTGGGATCATTAACGTAGTCCTGTGATGAGAGCACAGGGCCATCCATGAAGGCAGAGCCCCGCCTCCCCCATGCCTAGCCTCTGTCAAAGACGGCCTGTGTGCAGCGCATGCGTGCTGAGGTGCACATGCACAGTGGTTCTGAATGCAGTGTGAGAAGCAGCCCGCACTGGCAGGGCAGCAGGCAGCACCGAATGAGTGGCCACCCGTGACACTGGACTCCATTTCCCTGAGCAGGATGCTTACCTCTCTTGGATGAGTGCCAGAATTTATCTTTCAGGCTCAAAATCATATCTGCAAGACAGCAGAGGCGGGAGAGTGTGGATGCGCACAGTACAGCCCCCAAGTCACCCGGCCCAGTATTTCTATAGCAACCACAAACATCTCTGGTCATACTGACTAAACAGATGTCAGGATGGGCTGGAGATGGCCCCATTTCAGCTCTAAGATCTGAACTTGTACTTTTCTTCCAACCCTGCCTTGAGGGAACTACCATTTTGAACTCAAAATGGTCAGTGGCGGGCGCATTTATGCCACGAGAATCAGCCATCACTGCCAAGCAAGAGCGCAAAGCATACCCACAAGGGAAAGAGAGGGCCAGGCTGGAATGAGACAGATTCTCCTTTTAGAATTGGTTTTTTAGCCAACAGCTGGCAAATATGGTCACCAAAGAACACTGTTAAGCCAAGGGTGATAGTGCATGCCTTTAATTCCAGCACTCAGGAGGCAGAGGCAGGAGGATGGTGAATTTGAGGCCAGCCTGGTCTATAAGAGTGAGATTTGGTCTCAACAGATGAGGGGAGGCGAGAGGAGAAGGAAGGGGAAAAGGGGAAGAGGGAAGAGAGAAGGGGAAAAGAAAGGAAAATGGCTGGGCACCCGTGGTGCACGCCTGCCATCCTAGCTACTCAGGAGGCTGAGATCTGAGGATCAAGGTTCAAAGCCGGCCTGGGCAGGAAAGTCTGTGAGACTCTTATCTCTAATGAACCACCAGAAAACCGGAAGTGGTGCTGTGGCTCAAGTGGTAGAGCACTCGCCTTGAGCTGAAGAGCTGAGGGACAGCGCCCAGGCCCAGAGCTGAAGCCCCACAACCGACAAAAAAAAAGAAAAAAAAAAAAAAAAGGAAAATGAAGGGAAGGAAAGGAAAGAGAAAGGAAGGTTAGGGTCACATGAGAGTACACAATGAAGAACAGCACTGAACCAATGAAGAGCTTGGTGTGTCAGCTATTCAGTGATGATCATTACTAGGCTAGCATTTAATGGAATATTACTTGTGCCAGGCTGTAGTCTAAGCACCTAGAACCTATCAGTCATTTAGTATTCTTATCTCCTGGGCTCTGTCCTATGCAAGCCATGAAGGAACTAAGTCACCAAATTCTCAGAATCACTTCTCGTTATCTCTGTCTGCAGAGACAGAGAGGTTAAAGATGGTGACTTTTCTGGCACCAGATGTTTCTAAGTACTCTCTCTGGTCTCCCAAGACTCACCCCATATAAATTTCTTATTTTCTTCTGCATTAGCCACAGCGCTTCCCCATAAACCTGCAGAGAAAATAGAAATAAAACCGAAGCTCTATTGGCTAGGTGCCAATGGCTCATGCCTATAAATCCCAGCTACTTGGGAGGCTGTGATCTGAGGATCATGGTCGTCAGTTCAAAGCCAGTCCAGGTAGGAAAAGTCTGTGAAACTCTTATCTCCAGTTAATCACCAAAAACCCGGGAAGTGGGCCTGTAGCTCAAGTGGTAGACTGTAACGCAGGACCTGTGTAAAGCTGGACCTTTGACGGGGGCGGGGGGGGGGGGGAGTAGAGGCTAGGGGAAGGGTGTGGACACCTCTATTTCCCACCCCCACTGGACCCGATCTGACCTCAGTACTGACCTCTCAGGAAAGAAAGGTCTCGTTCAGACTGAGGCCTACTCAGGTTTCCATTCTTGAACTGGCTTCCGAACTGGGCGATGGGGATGTAGGCCTTGAGAGCCGGGTAGCCGGCGTGGTGAGGAGTGAACTCAAACCAGGAATCTGTGAGGAGGCAACTCAAGGGTAAGCGCAAGCATGGAGCCTAGCACAGAGTCTAGAATCACAACAGGTGCTCAGGAAGGGACGCGTGAAGATGAGGGCATAGCAGAGACAGCCTGTGCGGTCTCAAAAATAATCTTGGGGTCTCCTCTCCGGGCTTCTGAGACCCTTTGATCAGCTGGATAAAGTTCACCCATTTTCCAGCAGGTTCCCCAGCTATTTGGTGGTTAATGGAGCTATCGAGGAAGATGGCTATAAAAAATAAAAATTAAAAAAGAGCAGAGTACCCAGGTGCATACCTGTCATCCTAGTTACTCAGAAGCTAGGATCTAAGGATTGTGGTTCAAGGCCAGTCCAGGCAGGAAAGTCTATGAGACTTTTATGTCAATGAACCAGCAAAAAGTAAGCCAGGCACCGGTGGCTCACGCCTGTCATCTTAACTACTCCAGAGGCTGAGATCTAAGGATCACAGTGCAAAGCCAGCGCAGGCAGGAAAGTCTATGAGACTCTTATCTCCAATAAACCACCAGAAAACTGTAAGTGGCACTGTGATTCATGTGGTAGAGCACTAACTTTGAGCATAAAAGCTCAGGGACGATGCCCAGGCTCTGAGTTCAAGCCCTGGGACTGGCACATGTGTGCGCACGTGCAAACACACACACACACACATACACACACATGCATGTACCACGCACACACCTGTCCCTGCCTCCACTTTGCCTGTCCCACAAACATACTGTCTTGTAATTCTCTTGATGCACACACCATCAGCCTGTACCCCTGGGTGATTTCTGGGACTCATCTTCTCCTCACCTTCCTGACAGGAAGGTCAGCACACACTCTTTCTTGCCTTCTCCCTCCCTCCTTTCCTCCCCAGACCTCCAAATTTTCACTTACTCTTGTTTTTTTTGTTTACCCATTCAGGATAAAGGTCATTGTCGATGGCCGCAAATACGGGGTAGGGCAGGGCCCCGGCCTCCACATCCTTCTTCAGGCTGGACAGACAGGAGTCCTGGAACTGTGGCAGGAGATGAGGAGTGGAGGGCTGACCCCACCCTATTATCCCAGGTGCACAGGGACTGATGTCAGGCAAAACCCTGGGTATGCATGGTGAGACATGCTTGATGTAGGCAGGAAAATCTGACCTGAGTCTGGCTATACACATTTCAGTGTGGTACGGGATGCTGGTGGCTCACACCTGTCATCCTAGCTACTCAAGAGGCTGAGATCTGAGGATTAAGGTTCAAAGCCAGCCTGGGCAGGAAAGTCGGTGAGACTCTTATCTCCAATAAACCATTAGAAAACCAGAAGTGGAGTTGTGGCTCAAGCGGTAGAGCACTTGCCTTGAGCTGAGGGACAGCGCCCAAGCCCAGAGTTCAAGCCCCACGACCATCAACAACAACAAAACTTTTTCAGTGTGGGCCTAACCTATAGGGAACTCTGAAGCCCAGGAATGGGTTAAGAGGTTAGAATGGCAGAAGGCTGAGAATTAGATCCTGAGAAAGTAAAACCATCAAGGCAAGGCAGATGTGGAGCTGTTTGAACAGTAAAAAAGCTTGAGAAGCCAGGTGCCAGCGGCTCACACCTGCCCTCCTAGCTACTCAGGAGGCTGATATCTGAAGATCATGGTTCAAAGCCAGCCCAGGCAGGAAAGTTCATGAGACTCTCATCTTCAATGAACCATCAGAAAACCAGAAGTGGTGCTGTGGCTCAAGTGGTAGAGCACTCACTTTGAGCTGAAGAGCTCAGGGACAGTGCTCAGGCCCAGAGTTCAAGCCCCATGACCACCACCACCACCAAAAGCCTGAGATGTTGGAAGTAGGATGGCTCCCCTCTGCTCCCTAACCATAAGGGAATGAATTACTCCTCTGTACTGAACTCAAGTAACCTCTGTCTCCTTGCTCAGACCCCATAAAAGCCTAACTCCAACCCCACCTCCTTGCACAACCTCTGATCCCTAGAGAAGGTTGTTGCCCCTTGCTGTTCCTCAATAAACAGTCCTAGCCTGTTGAGACTGAGTCCGGCCTTTTCCTTTTTCCAAGGAGAATGAGCTCTAGGGGGCACAAAGATGTCATCAGGTCCCCTCCCTACAGGGGGTGCCCTGTCTAGAACTGGGGTCTGTCTTCTTAAGCAGTCTCAAAGAACTGAGAAGTTGCCAGGTGCCAGTGGCCGTAATCCTGGCTAGTCAGAAGGCTGAGATCTGAGGGTCACAGTTTGAAGCCAACCCTGGGCAGGAAAGCCCTGTGAGACTCTTTATCTCCAGTCAACCACCAGAAAACCAGAAGAGGAACTGTGGCTCAAAGTGGTAGAGCACTAGCCTTGAGCTAAAAAGCCCAGGATAGTGCCCAGGCCCAGAGTTCAAGTCCCACAACTGACAGGAACTGAGAGATTGGAGAAAGAGAGAAACAGGGGAGGGAGGGGTAGAGTTGTTAGACAAGATGCCTAGGGGGACATCTATAAGGGCAATGTGGTGAAGACCTCAGCCAGACTTACCTCTCTGCTCTGTCTAGAGACAATTAAGTAGGCCCAAAAGTCAGTGAGAGAGTAATTTTTGAAGCTGGATGATTCGATGGCTTTCTGCATGCTGACTGACATGGCCCACTCAGGCTGTTCAAATCGCTGTTTCAGATCCGACTCAACATGGGCTATGTCCCCATGGTTGCTGTAGAAGGAAGACATGGCCCTGTGGGGAGAGAAAGTGTGGGGAGAAAGATGTGATTTCTGCACGGAAAATGTGCCCAGATCCAATAGGAATGTCTTCCCTGGGCTAAGAAGTAGACTTATAGGTGTGGGTGCTTTGGGTCTTCTTTTTCTATCAGGCTGAGATCAGAAGTGTGGAAAGCCAGGGAAGGTGAGCAACATGAGGACATTAATTAACTCAGGGAAAGTGCTTAACTAATTTATGCTAAAACTTGGGAAAGGATTTAAGCACCTGCTGGAATGATTCTTCCATTTTATAAGCAGGAGGATATAAAAAAGAGAGCAAATGCCAGGTGCTGGTGGCTCACGCCCGAAATCCTAACTACTCAGGAGGCTGAGATCTGAGGATCTTGGTTCAAAGCCAGACTGGGCAGGAAAGTCTGAACCAAACTTATCTCCAATAAACCATCAAAAAACCGGAAGTGGTGCTGTGGCTCAATTGGTAGAGTGCTAGCCTTGAGCTGAAGAGCTAAGGGATAGCCCCCACCACTACCAAAAAAAAAAAAAAAAAGAGCAAAGCTAGAACGAATGACTCCTGAGAGCCAAGCTTTGTTGCTATTTTTCTAGACAAGAGATGTGGCCATCACCTTGTCTTCACAGTCAACCAAGAAAAAGAAGAGGAAGCTCGTCTTGCATTGTACAGAGGAAGATACCGAGGCCCAGAGTGGTTGAGCAACTTCCCCAACCTCAAGGACAAAAGCTGCACTGGGTTTGTTTCCAGATGATCCACCATCTTCACATCTAGTTCTCTATGCTGTGCTGGGGCAGAAGGGACGGAGAACAAGCCCGGGCGTTTTTTTTTTTTTTTTTAGAGGAATAGCTTGCTGCTTCCTATGTAAGAACTCAGAAGGGATTTTTGACGTTCCTGTTCCTGGGTATGAAGTGCTAACTGTTTACATTTGTGCTGGCCAGTAAAATCACCTCTGGAAAGCCAGGTGTCAGTGGCTCTCAGCTCACACCTGTAATCCCAGCCACTCAGGAGGCTGAGATGGAAGGATCATGGTTCAAAGCCAGCTCATGCAGGAAAGTTCCTGAGACTCTTGTCTGTAATTAAGCAGCAAAAATCCAGAAATGAGAATTTGAGGTTCGGAGTTGAAGTCTCAGTCTAGAAGCAGAAGCAGCAGCAGCAGAAGAAATAGTTTTGGGCTTCTAACAGCACACAGAGGGTCAGAGGACAGCTCTAGGAACTGAACAAAGCTACTGGGTGAAAGGTCTGTCGTGTGTGTGTGTGTGTGTGTGTGTGTGTGTGTGTGTGTGTGTGTGTGTGTGTGTGTGTGCCAGTCCTGGGGCCTGGGCACCGTCCCTGAATTTCAAGAATGGTGCTTTACCCACTTTAGACACAGCTCCACTTCTGGCTTTTTTTTTGTATGTGGTAATTTAGTGGAGATAAAGAGTCTCAAAGGCTTTTCTGCCCTGTTGGCTTCCAACCACAATCCTCAGATCTCAACCTGCTGAGCAGCTGGGATTACAGGCATAAGCTACTGCATCCAATTTGAGTGGTTTTATGACCTAGACATGGTTGCTTCAATCATTGGCCACTGGCAACTCCAGCACCAGCTCCTCCTGCCATCTTGTCTGGCCATGATTTCAACTGAGTGACCAGCTCTCCCCTCCTGAAGCATGTAGCGCCTCCCCAGCCAAGAATATCACCCTAGTGTAGAACCAAGTATGTTCCTGCCACCATCATCACTATCAGAGGGCACCAACAAGCTCTTCCAGGAACTGGGAACTTCTCCATACCCTCTGTTTCTTGGGTCACAACAAATCTGCTACAAAACACAAGAGCCCTGACTGACCACTTGGAGCCTTGGCCTCCCCCATGTTATGTTCACAGTGCAGGTGATTGGAACCCAGGCCTTGTGATTTCCTGGTTTGGGGACAGTGTGTTGTACTCAGCCTACTAAAGACATTCTCATTCCAAAGTCCATAGGTGGCAGGGCCAAGGCACCCATGCCTATGAACCCACCTCCATACCCAGGGCAGACATTGCTAATCAATCTTGGCATGATTTTTTTTCCTGGGCAGAGATGGAAAATGAGATTAATGGCTAACAGAGTTAATGGCACAAAGAGCAGAAACTCAGACCTTAGGAGTGAAGTGGCTCTTGAACAGTCACTCGTGCAGTTCCTGAGGTATGTGGGTTGGCAGGGCTGCTCAGTTTCCAATATTAGGGAAGGATATTGAATCTTTCCCTTCTGTTGCTCCTGCTGCTGCACTGTAGTTAAGAAAGAAGGCCCTGGGCTGGGAGGGTGGCTCAGTGGTAGAGCTCTTGCCTTGCATGCATGAGGCCCTGGGTTTGATTCCTCAGCACCACATAAGCAAAAAGAAAAAAAGCCAGAAGTGGTTCTCTGGTTCATAGTGGTAGAGCACTAGCCTTGAGCTGAAGAGCTTGAGGGACAGCGCCCAGGCCCAGAGTTCAGGCCCCACGACCGGACCCAAAAAAAAAAAAAAAAAAGAAAGAAAGAAAGAAAAAAGGACTTGCTGGGAACTGGCAGCTCATGCCTGTAATCCCAGCAACTCAGAAGGCCAAGATCTGAAGACTGAGGTTCAAGACCAGCCTGGGCAGGAAAAGCCTGTGAGACTCCTATCTCAAAATGCGTGTGTGCGTGCACGTGCACACACACACACACACACACACACTGAAGAAAGAAAAAGGATATCAGTATTTGATATCCTTTCTTTTCTTTTTTTTTTTTTTTTTTGCCAGTCCTGGGCTTGAACTCAGAGCCTGGGTATTGTCTCTGAGGTTTTGCTCAAAGCTGGCCCTCTACCTCTTGAACCACAGCTTCACTTCTGGTGTTTTGGTTGTTCATTGGAGTCTCCTACTTACCTGCCCTGGGGCTGGCTTTGAACCATGATCCTCAGATCCCAGCCTCCTGAGTAGCTGGGATTACAGGTGTGAGCCATCAATGCCCAGCTCATTGTCATTTTGGTGTTGGAAAATACTCTTTCAGATCCAGAAACTCAGTACTTACCAGGTGGAGCCTGAGACCCCGGCCAGGTACATGATGGCGTCCAATAGGCCGAGTTCTTTCAACTCACTCAGAACCCCGAGAAAGCCGATGTGTGCACGCATTCCGCCGCCTGAACCCAACACGGCGATAAGCGGAGCCTGGGCATTGGGGCAGAAGGTGGTGAGAGGTTAAGGACTCAGGTGGGAGTCTAAGCCCTCCCCTTCAGTGCTTGGGCTCCTGGTGCCCCCTGCCCTCACCCTGGCTCAGCTGAGGCTTCAGATCCTGGGGTACAATGGAGGAACCCCCAAGGTTATCTTCTGCCATCCCTCACCTGAGTGGCCTTGATGCCCTGGGCTGCCAGAGCTTTTAACACCCAGGGGTTGCGTTTCTCCACACACGCCTTCTCTTGTTTCGCGCCCTCCTGAGTGAGGCCATCTTTAGGACTTCTCAAAGCAGAACATAAAACAAAAGCCAGACAATGCGCGGTTAGTGAGAGGAAGAATAAAAATACAGCATGTGTCCAGTGGCACCTGCCATTCAGGGGTTGCTAGTGGCCATTTGGGAGGCTGAGCTGGGAAGGATCCCATTTGGAGGCCAGCCCAGGCAAACTTATGAGACCCCCCAGCCCTTCTCCATCATGGGAAACTCTGGTGCCAGGCCAACCCAAGCAGAAAAGTCCATTAGACTCTGTCTCAATGGAGAAGCTGGGCATGGTATATGCCTGTCATCCTGGCTACGATAGGGAGCTTCAAATAGGTGGGTTGCAGTCCAAGACAAAAACTAAGACTGTATCTCAAAAAAATGGCAGGAATTTGGCTCCGCAGAAGAGCACCTGCCTAATAAGCATGAGGCTCTGCGTTCAAACCCCACTACCTCCTGTAAAAAATTGGGCAAGCCGGAAGTCAGTGGCTCCCGCCTATAATCCCAGCTACTCAGCTAGTCAGGAGTTTGAGATCTGAGAAGAGGGGCTCCAGGTCAGCCCAGGCAGGAAAATCCATGAGACTCTTATCTCCAATTAACCAGCAAAAAGCCAGAAGTAGAGGTGTGGCTCAAGTAGTAGAGCACTAGACTTGAATGAAAAAGCTAAGGGATAGCATCCAGGCCCTGAGTTCAAGACTCAGGCCCCATGCGCACACGCACACGCACACACACACACACACACACACACACACACACACACACACACCATCATACATTTAGCTTACTTTGTGTTTTCGGCCATCAGTGATTTGGAGGATGGCTTGTGGCTCATCTTCCAAATCTCCTCCACTTATTCTACTTCAAATGTTGCCCTTCCTGGCTGCAATCAAGCAGATAATTATTTAGGTCAGCTCAGGCCTGAGCTGGGCCTGCTTGAAGGCCTTGGGCTTGTTTTCTGGAAACCCATTGGTAGAACTGGCTGTTTGGTTTCTTGGAATTGGATCAACTGTGTTCTTTCTCATTCTTTTCACCTGACCTCTCCCCCTCCCATCCAGAGGCCATGGCTCCCCTCAAATTTAGCTCTGGTTTCATAGCCACCTCAGGGATTGAGGCCAAACCAGGGGACAATGGCCAATGCTGAAAATATCATCCAGCCCTGATGTGTGCCCTTTCCCTCCTCCCCATGAGGCCTGATTCCTGGGTGGGCACTGGGTGCAGGGAGGTTGTCTCTCTGTGACCAGATGCCAAGCAATGGAGAATGGTGACTTCTTCTAGGGTTGGCTGTGATCCCCCAGATTAATCTTTTCTCTGCTCTAATAGTAAAGTTCTTCATCCGTGCCAGAGCTTGGGACGTCCCAATGTCCTAGGGCCATTGCTAGGAGACTGGCTGAAGGAGAGACTCCCCCTGACAATGGGACATCCCCAGACTTCCCAGGTGTTCAGTCCACTATCTGCTCTTCCTCCCCTCTCTGCAAGGATTTGGGATAAAAGAGCTGAAATTCTGCAAGGCAGAATTAACTCTGGAGAAGTTACAATTGTTGGTAAGCAGCAGGGGAGAAAGCGATTCACACTCCCTACACACATCTTGTAGAGTACTGGCATTCATGCTTGGGCCAGCCACCCAGGAGGCTGAGATCTGAGGATCACAGTTCAAAGCCAACTCAGACAGGAAAGTCCATGAGACTCTTATCTCCAATATGCCACCTAAATACCAGAAGTGGAGCTGTGGCTCACGTGGAGCTCCAGGCTTTGGGGTGGGGGGGAAGCTTAATGAGGAAACCGTGAGGCTCTGAGTTCAAGTTCCATTACTGGCACAAGCAAAAGAAGAAGAAAAAAAGCCATATTCTAAGATTGCTTTTATTCTATTTATCCACCTATCCATTCCTCCAGCAGTACCTGTTTAGAATGGCACCCCCCAATATCTTCTTGATCCCACCCCCTTCCCCGGACTCCTGCCTTGTCCCCCAACAGGGGACAAGTCTGAAGTTGGAAGGAGACTGTCTGAAGCTTGTGCCTGCATCAGAGCTCCAAGAACAGGACCAGGCAGGAGGGAATTGGTTGAGAAGATCTGGCTACTTACGATGCTGGGGGTCTCCTGCAGTCCTGAATGGGTCAGAAGGCAGAGACAGGAAGGAGCAGCTACGAGCACTGTCTCGAGGAACGCTAAGGTGTGGGTCCCTTCAGGTGTGTGGGCCTGTCAAGTGCCCTTTATATAGGGCGTTTAAAGGAAGTGGCTGGGAACCCAGCCCATGGGGAGGGGGAGAGGTTGGTGTAAGATTAGTTTATTTTTTAATTATTTTATCACCTCTGGCACAAGCTGGGCCTTTGGGTGTGGCTTGTGGGAAGTGTCTACCTTACGTCCTTTACATGGACGTAAACACATGCGTGTTTAGCAGGCACAGCCTTGGGTTTAATTCTGAGCCCCAACCACAACATCATGCAATGAATGGTGCATCAAAACGATCTTGCTTGTGTGTGTGTGTGTGTGTGTGGTGCTGGTCCTGGGGCTTGAACTCAGGGCACTGTCCCTAAGGGTTCTTTTGTTTTTATGGGAGAGGGAGGGGGTCCGTCAGTAGTGGGGTTTAAACTCAGGGCCTGGGCACTGTCCTTGAGCTTTTTGCTCAAGGCTAGCACTATACTACTTGAGCCAAAGCTCTACTTCTGGCTTTTTTCCCCCTTTTTTGTCGGTCATAGGGTTTGAACTCTGGGCCTGGGCAGTGTCCCTCAGCTCTTCAGCTCAAGGCAAGCACTCTACCACTTGAGCCACAGCGCCACTTCCAGTTTTCTAATGGCTTTTTGGAGATAAGAGTCTCATGGAGTTTCCTGCCTGGGCTGGCTTTGAACCACGTTCCTCAGATCTCAGTTTCCAGAGTAGCTAGGATGACAGGCATGAGCCATGGGCACCAGGCAGGTTTTTAAAAAATATATATGTTTTTATTGTAAAGATACTGTACAGAGGGTTACAGTTACATGAGCAAGGTAATGAGTCCATTTCCTATCAAGCATTGTTACCCCCCTCCTTTGTTTTTCCCCTACCATCCCTTTCTTCCTCCCTCCCCCCTCCACCACCACCCCCCCCCCCCCCCCCCCCCCGCCAGTAGTTTTTTTTTTTTGAGTCCTGAACTCTGGGCCTGGGCGGTCTCCCTCAGCTCTTCAGCTGTAGACTAGTGCTCTACCACTTGAGCCTCAGCCCCACTTACAGCTTTTTCTGCTTATGTGGTGCTGAGGAATTGAACCCAGGGCCTCAGGCAGGCAAGGTAAGCGCTGTACCACTGAACCACCTTCCCAGCCCTTTTTTTTTTTTTTAATTGGAGATAAGTGTCTGATGGACTTTCCTGCCCCAGCTGGCTTCAAACCATGATCCTCAGATCTCAGCCTCCTGAGTAGCTGATTATGGGCATGAACTACTGGAACCTGGCTCATCATGTTTTCTATTTCTGTTCCCAGTCTCTCCATGTCACATCTTTTCACCCCTTCCCTTCAAGTTTCTTTCCTGATACAGGAAGCCTGCCAGACTTCAGGAATTTATTACATATAGTTTTGACCAAGGTGGTTTAAAAATAAATAAAATTTCAAAACCACACCTTGTGGATTTTCATAGGTGCACTGTCAGTTCTGAGTTACTAGAAATTGGTTTACATCATGTGAGCTGATATGCATTTTCCTGCCTTAAAATCTGCCTACTCTGGAGAAAACTGTGTCCAAACAGGAAGATAAAAAGCTAGAATACAGAAGGCTCAGATCTGAAGATTGCAGTTCAAAGCCAGCCCGGGCAGGAAAGGCCATGGGCCTCTCCAATTAACCATCAAAAGTCCAGAGCTGTGGCTCAAGTGGAAGAGCACTGGCTGGGTGGCATTCTGGGAACTGTCCCATCAAGTGTCTGCATTACTGCACGGAAAACATCTGCATCCTGAGCAGGCGCAGTTGGTCTTCAATGGCTGTCTCTTTGGAAGTGTAAACAGATGGATTGCCAGGGTCTGTGGCATACTTTTATGGTTTTGGAAACATCCAGTATCTGCTCAGTTCCTCTGTCCTCTTCCCTCTCTTCCCTCTCCCCATCCTTTCAATGTCTCCGTTTTGTTTTCCTGTCTTCAATGGAACCCTGAGAATAGGTGGACAACCACCGCCAACCCTCTGAATTTCAGTTCAACTCCTTCATTGGGAAAACAGGATCAAAATGACTAGGATGTCCAAACAGAACAACGTGGAATCCAGCCAGGAGCCGCCAGTACCGGGTAAAGAAACATCAATACCACATGTGCTCTTCCCCTTCACCAAAGGGCTCTCTTCTTTTTTGGAGGGAGGTGGGGAGGGAGGGAGAGGGAAGACTGCCCTGGAACTCAAGATCCTCTTGCTTCCACCTCCTGGGTGCTGGGATTAATGAAGTGCATCACCACACCTGGCCTTTCTTCTCAAGACTTTCATTCTGCTCCCTTTCCTTTTCTTCACCACACCTGGCCTTTCTTCTTAAGACTTTCATTCTGCTCCCTTTCCTTTTCTCTCTCCTCTCTCTTCCTCCCTCCTCCTTATTCTGGCCCAAATGCAGCTTGGAAATGTTTGTCACAGGAGAAAGAGCTGGCCTCAAGATGGGACATCTATACAATGGAATATCATACAGCCATAAAGAAGATGTTACATCATTGACAGGAAGATGGATACAGTGGAAGATCATCATCATGAGATAAAGCCAAATACTGCATAGATTCACTCATTTGTGAAATCTAGACCTAAAAGACATATACAGGTATACTAATATCTATCTATCTATCTATCTATCTATCTATCTATCTATCTATCTATCTATCTATCTATCTATCTATCCATCCATCCAGATCTACAGACCTGTAGATCTAACTGTGGCCTATTTGGGGGAGATGGAGGGGAAGGGAGAGGACCAAAGGAGAGGATAAGTGAAGTTCATATTTACATAGGGGCACATTAATTTATATTCATGTATGGAAATAGGACAATGAAACCTGTGGATTGTTTGTCATGGGGATTTTTTTCTCTATTACTTTTTAGCGCTCTACCACTTGAGCCACAGCTCCACAGTTCATTGGAGATGAGAGTCTCGTGGACGTTCCTTCCTGGGCTGGAATTGAATGATGATTCTCAGATCTCAGTCCCCTGAGTAGCTGGGATGACAGGTGTGAGTCACCAGGGTCCAGCTGGGATTATTTTAAGGAAGGGGAAGGGAATGGGGAAGCCTGATGATGGGATAACGGATGCATGTATAGAAATATCACCATGACCCGTGGGCCTCCCGCCATGCCTAATAAATGATTTTTCTTTTTCCTATTTCTGTCACGAGAGAAGTCTGTGGCCCAACTCCATTTTCTACACCCTCCTTTCCCACACTCCCCCCCCCCCCCCCATAGTCAAGATCACCTAAAAGATTACCCCAAACCAACGACTTCTGAAGAGTTCCTAGCAAAACTAGAACTAAGAAGAACAATACCCAACCGTCAAAGGACTTCTCTAGAAATCCTTGCAAAATTCTAACAGGGTAATTTAAACAAAGGCTCAACTGTAGAGTTTCTCAGCAACTCATTGCAAAACCAGCATTAAGATAAGAAAAGGTCAGATGCTGGCCCTGAACACAGGCACATTGGCTAAGCACCAGAAATAACGTCTTCTGCAGAAAATGGGGCCCAAGTAACACATGCCTCTGCTCCCCTTCCTATAAAACCTCCAAGAGGGGCCTGGGGTAAGGGTGGAGTGACCAGACCTTCCTGTCTGCCCTTTGTCACCTCTGGTGCCTCCTTTTGGGTGTTCAGAGACAGCGACTGTGTCTATGTGTGC